TAAAATAAAATAAAATAAAATAAAATAAAATAAAATAAAATAAAATAAAATAAAATAAAATAAAATAAAATAAAATAAAATAAAAACAAAACCAAACCACTAAAACCCAAGAAGGCAGCAGGCACTCCATCGTACCTGGGGGGAACTGAACACTTTGGTACTTCCAGGCCATGCAGATTCCTTGATTGGCAGAGTGTTCTCTTGCTGAGGTAGAGATACTAAAAGCAGAAAGAGATAATAAATGAGAGAAACCAAGTGTCTTTAAGTTAAAGATGTATGAATTTACACATTAAGGCAAACGTGCCTCTATACTTAGAAAGGCATTAAAAAAAGGAAGCCACTTTCAAACATACTCAGGAAGTGAGCCCTTTGTCCTGGCTGGAAAAAAAAAAAAAAAAGTAGCATTGCACTTCCCAGAATTGATTTCCCAGTGATTAAATAAATGAAACTGAAACTTTTCCCCAGTATGCTTATAATTTGTCCACAGGATATTAAGTGAAGTTAGTTTACAAATTACAGCTAACCCCCTAGAAACCGAACCACTTATTTAACAACAAAGCTTACCACATACATATGCACACACAACTTGCACTGCTAGCTTATTTGCAGATACAATTCCCCTTAGAAGCTTAATATACAGCAGTGTGCATCTGTAAATCACAAAGCGACTTTTACAGTATAGTTGTACATCCTTAGGGGAAATCAGCTAGGAGGCAATGCAAACTAAAGAGTCCTCTGCTAAAACTGTGTGTTTAAACTTGTTCTGAGTGAGCCTACTCTACCTTCTGCTGCAGCAGTGCATCACAGGACCACCAGGTGCCAATTCCAGTTGCCCAGACACTCCCTGAGCTTCCTGCATTTTAGCAGAAAGCTCTGACTCTGGAATTCTTACCTTTTTCCCTTTTGTAACTGTTTATTGTTTCCAGGAGATCAGGTGAAACACTCGTACAGATTTTCTCCAGCATTTTCACATTGCTTGCAGTTAAAAGGCCCTGTTTTTCCAATAAAATGAGCAACTCCAGAGCAGACTGACAGAAAAATAGAGAGAAAACAAAATGCACTTATTATTTCTCAGAACTTAAACCAATGGCCTCAGCCTTCTCTCCCTCACATAATTACATTATCATCTGGTTTGTTTCTTGCCAATGAGTTCTGAATAGTCTATTTTCATCACCAGGTGAAGGGGAAATGTTGCACCACAGAAAGCCACTGACAGAATTATAACTTGGTATGTTCTTACTTCAACAGATTTACCCAAACCATATTAATGAATCTTGGCCTTGAGAAGGCTTTATTGCTGTGAAATATTACAAATATACGTGGGTATGAATGTTCTTTGTTCATGGGCCAAGCAAGAAAAAGAAAGATCCATATGTCATCCTGTTATGATCTAATGTAAGACAGTGGAGCACCCATGACTGTCCTTCACACAAAGCAGCACCAAATTCCACTCTAATTCTGCCATGAGGATCTTCTTCTCCATGTTCTTCCTCGCCTCCATTCTTCCCTCCCTTTTATTTATACAATTGTCTTTCTCCCTACATACAACAATTGGCTGTCGTTTCGGCAGGTAGTCCCTCAGGAGGAAAATGATTTCCTTCAACATCTCGCTGGTAATGTTTTCTGCCAATTCATACAGCATCTGCCTGTAACAGAGACCCAATGAAATCAAAACAGAAAACGGTGTAGAAACACAAGGTGATCTGAGAATTAAAAAAAATATATGGAAAGGGATGCAGCAGGTAATAGAGAACAGGGCTAGCAGAATCCTAAAAGCTCACCTGTAAGGAGATACTCTTCCCTTCTCTGGTAGATATTCTTGCACTCTCTCCTTTGTATAGTTAAGTTTTTGGAGCAAAAAGTGACATTTAATTCTGAATAAAAGTTCAGCTAATAGAAAAGTATCTTCCTCGTTCAGATACTCTTCAGCCATAAGAAGCTGAAAAATGTCCAGTGCTGACTGTGCACTTTCCAATTTTTTGAAGGGGATCAGGTCAAGACAGAGAAATTTTAAAGCTGCTACATCTTCGGTCCCCAAGTTATCATCAATGAGTAGAAGCTTCTGACGAAACTTCAAGGTGATGTCATCCCCCATGTTGATGAGACAGAGAACCTTTCTGCCTGGAGGCAAAAAAAAACAACCAAACAAACATTGATAACACTGTAGCTTTCAATACAAAAATCCTTGAAATAGGATTTCATACAATAGCTAATTGAAAGCTCTGAATACTCTGTAGAAGAGGAATTTTCATTTGAATCCATTCAAAATTTACTTCCTTCTCCAAGAAAAAAAAAAAAAAAAAAGTAACCGAGATCTTATTTGGCAGCAGCTCTGGACAACCCAGTGTACTCTTGAAGTTAACCCTCTTCTGAGCAGAAAGCTGAACTAGAAGACCTCAGGAGACCTCTTCTCCCAACCTAAATTACTCTATACACTGTCATCTACTTTCATGTTCACAAGAAGGAGACCACCACTACCTTCTCCCTCACAACTGCACCTCTGTTCCTATACACTGTGGCTGGGAAGAGTCCCTGCATTTAATGCTACTACAGCTCTCAGTAGAAAAAGCACAGTGGTAAAAATCACAAGTGTTTCTTGATCTGCAGTCTGAGAGCTCTGCTAGTGCAGTGAGGAGATGTTCCTCTGTTTCAACTCTGATATCCAGCCTGAAGCCGCAAATACTTCCATACACTGCCAGTTAAATCCTGCAACCACACTGCGTCTCCTATTTGGCACAGGAAAACCCTAAAACTGCCCTTAGAGGAGTGCCTAATAAGATGCGACAAGAAATCAATTTAAGGGGGACTGTACAGGCAACTCAACGCTACTGAAATGCATTACAGATTAACCATCCTGCTGCTAAACCAACTTCCTCCATGCAGCTGAGGCAGCTTTCTTCTACCTGAGAGAGGCTATGCAGGCAAACCTGTTTTGATTTGTAAGAAAGTGCTTGTTTGTAAGAAAGATGCCTTCTGCCCAAAGAGCCAGGTAGATCATTTAGTGTAGCTGGAAGTAGCAAAGCTCTCTACATGAGAAGCAGCAGAAAAAAAAAAAGTGATGTGAAGGCATGTGAAGGCATGGACAAGCTCTCAATTCAAAGCCTACGAAACATCTGCAAAGACAGATCAGCAAAAAAATCACAAAGAACATTCTAACATTTGGATGGTGCCAGGAAGAGACCAGTTTTGTGTTTGCCAGGAAGAGACCAGTTTTGTGTTTAGGGGCACATAGGAAATATAATCCCAAGTCCCGACATTCAGCTAAGGATGCAAGCAGCAATTCTTATTTCAAACAACTGGATTGATAGAACCGAGGAATCCTGAAACCTCTACTGCCCCTTAATCATTAGTTACAGACTGTTTAAGCAAAAACAGTCATATTTTTTTTGCCTGTATTCAAGCTTACTCTTCCACAGGTTACTAACTCATGTTTTTTTTCACTCATCAAATGAAATCCTGTGTATTGTGACAGCTTATTCACTTACGGCTACGATCAAAAAGGTTCAGATCTCAGTCATCTATCTGCACACACAAATTGTATAACTTCACATTAGATCAGGCTTTAAATTAATATAGCTAAGTTAGTTTCAAACCCCTTCTAGATGCACTAATCACGTAAATTTAGCAGATTAATGTAGGTTAAATTGATTCCTGTCTAATAAATCATGTTCAAATTGAATTTATTTCTATTTGGAATTCAGAGAAAATAACTTTGATCAAGCCAGTCTCAATCATAACTGCAGAACAACAGGGACAAGTTGTGTGTAAGTCAGGTGTAAACAGTCATTTCATCAGCACAACTAAATGAAACAAGATCCAACATCATTTTCTTCATCTACCTTAAAAAAAAATCTATAATATCCCTTCCAGCTGCCTTTCACAGAATGGTTGGGGTTGGAAGGGATCTCTAAAGATCATCTAGTCCAACCCCGCGGAAAGCCTTTCGCTCAAAACCCCTCCCAGGTTCCCAACACCCTTGCAGACACTGAACCTGTGCTGTGTTTGGCAGCTCTGACCTCTCTTCCTTCTCCTTTGCACTGATGGCGGCAGGGCTGTTACTGCCTCCTAGCACTGCTGCGAGAGGAGATAGTGCAGATTTACACTTCAAGGCAGAGCTCATCTTATTGTTGCTGTGTTTCTAGAACACCCTGCCACTTTATGCATTTCAGAGGCACTTTCAAAAACATCGTGGTGAAAGACTCCTAAAGCAGAAGAGGAAAAAACAACAACCTCTCCCTATTCCTGTAAAATTATTAAAAGCTAAGACAAACGCTATCTATCCACCCAACACCAAAACACATAGTGGGCAGGACCTCCCTGCTCCCCTATTTACAGTTACCAGGTACAACACCAACACCCAGGAAGGTCACAGATCAATGCTTCTAATGCATGTTTTGCAACATATCCAATTCCTCCGTGGAGAAAAGAAAAAAAAATCACGTAACGTAAGAGCTAAGGATCATCAAATCACTAGTTTTTCCTTTTAACGTTTAACAAAGCAAAAGCGCGGGGCCTGGGGGGCGGCGCGGCAGCTCCGCAGGCGCAAGGCCAGGGGCGCCGGGCCCCAGCCCGACGGCGGGAAGGAGGAAAGGAAGGAAGGCGGGAGGGAGGAAGGGAGAGAAGAAAGGAA